AAGCAGGTCGCGTGCTCGGGATCCGAAACTATGCATGTATTTACGTTATGTCAACATAGAATTGAAGACTTTCCTGGTCCCTCTGAATATCTTGGGGAAGGATCATACAAATCTTGTGACTTAGACGTTCGCCGAACAAATACACGGGGCGTGTTTTCAAACAACTCGCCGGGTCAGCCTTCTGCATGAAGATCTACCAGAACCTATCTCCATCCCCTACGTCATGAACCCGTGTCAGGTTGCAGCACTGCAGCCGCCTAAAAATAGCCCTACATTATGCGTTCCCCTTTGCCCCTCCCTAGGTTACCCTGTCAATAAACCCCCATTATCCTAAGGAACCTCAATTAAAGGGAAGCCTCAGGGGCCCAGTAAGTGGGGAGGTGGTAGGGGATCATGACGCAACCGGAAACCCAAAAAGCCCACTTGCCATCTATCAGACTCCCAAACTCCGCAGAGCAGGAGTACGCGGTTAAGGGTTTAGGGTTTCGGGCGGCTAGGGATGTCGGTGTCCAAGCCCTGGCTTCACAGCCCCTAGCCTGCTCCTTTTTCTTATTTTTTTTTCTGCTGCAATTATAGAGTTCCTTTTCTTTCAGTCTATTTTTCCATGCTTTAAAAGCCCTACATCCTAAATGATAAACAACCCTACTAGAAGCCAGGAAGCAAGCAAACATCCCGAACGCAAAGCTCCCGCCTTCCTCAGCCCTGTTCTGGGGGCTCCGTAAAAAGGGCCCACAACTTGAGAAAACCCCCCGCATGTCCGAAACTTAACCTCACAATGCCTTGTGGGAAACTTAGCCCAGACTTGATCCCACAGAAGCACCCCGCCTAATCCAACTTTGAACTCAAGTATGTAGGGTCAGAGTCCCTCTGAAGGGACCAGAAATGGATCTAGGGGGGAATAGAAAATAAAATGGAAACTGCTGTATGATTCTTGGTGAAGAGAATCTTGAACTTGGGGAACTCTCAAAAAGGTCCGAAATCGGAATTTCCTAAAGCCTAGATCGCCGAGGTGCAGGCATGCTGAGGGGCGATTTTTGGCCCCGGCAGCGCCAACACAGCAGATGTAAAAAGAAGTGACGTATCAGGATGGACGGCTGCTAGGCTCCTCTCTGAATCATGTACTTTGGAAAAACCCTCTTCTGGACTCTTGATATTCCATGAGTTGAATGATTTTAGCATATTTGCAAGGCTCAGAGGCCTAAAGCCTTGAATCCTGAAACTTCAATCCCTAAACACTATATATGGTCACGCACTTGCTGGCCCTCCCCATGGTACAGGCCTCCTCCCCCCTCGCCTGTGGGTGATGCTCCCTTGCCCTGTGGGTGTGGTTGGGGGTGGCCCTCCCCCCTGTGCTGATGTTGTTTGGGTTGGGCGGGATGAAGAGACATGATTTGAAGTCTTCCCCTCCCTCCTGTGAATGCAGTTGGGTGGGAGTCTCACCCATTGAGGAATTAAGCCATTTGCAAGTTTATATGGTATGGGGATGAAAGAAAATATTTACATGGATTAAACAGCATTACATACAAATGTTTAGATATAGAGATGGATTACCATTCCCATGCTGTGTTTCTGAGGTTTTTGCAGGGTCTTAGAAGGACACGCAAGCTATCCCCAAGGATCGCGCCCCGAGCTGGCCCATCTGTATAACTGTCGGCATGTTTGCAATCTTGTGCACAGAGTCAGCCTCCAAAAGTGACGACAGTCACGAAGATGGCGCCTTCCAGACACCCAATCCGGGTGACTATTGGCACTTTTGAGACTGCGAAGGGCCAAAAACGACGACAGTTACGGAGATTGCACACATTCATGGTCTTCACCCCTTTCCCAGACAATACCCACGAGGGGCAGATGACCATATGCCCCCATAGAAACTCTACAACCCCATTTGAAGGGACCTGTCTGGGAGCCGCCGCAGCCCTCCGGCTACTATGGCATGGCCAAGTCTTGGACTGAAGGCCTTGCCCCAGGGCGGTCATCTTTCCACCTTGGGTTTAGGGTTCAGGATTTAAGGTTTAGGGTTTAGGGTTCAGGATTTAAGGTTTAGGGTTTAGGGTTCAGGATTTAAGGTTTAGGTTTAGGGTTCAGGATTTAAGGTTTAGGGTTTAGGCGTTGAGGGTTTAAGGTTTAAGGACTTGCTCGTGCTTTTAAGGGGGGTGGGAGAGTGAATATAGCGAGTGTTATAGGAATATATAGATGTACATATATGTGTATATATATATACATATGGAGATGACATATATAGGGTTATTACAAGGGTCCACTCCCCCACTCTCCCTTAAGCACCTGACCAGTAAGTGGAATTTTAAAGTTTAGGTCTTAGGGGATGAAACCCTAAACACTGAACCGCAGGGGTTGTATAGGGTTTGAGCAGATTTTTGCACCAGTGGAGGTGCAAGCTGGGTGTATATAGGGTTTGATAGGGATTTGACATGCATTTTGGAAGACTAAGGGCTAAAGGCTTCGCTTTTGGGTTTTCGGATTTGGGAGTTGCAAGCTATACGGCCGCTGGTTATGGTTTAGGGTCCTTTTTCTTCCTGAGTCTCGGCTGATGTTATGGATTGTAAATTGAGTGACCATAGTGTTAGTTGCGGAATTTAAGTTCCACAACAGCAACCCAGTAGACAGAATTGGCCTGTACATGATTCCCTACTAGGAACCGTAAGTGAAGCGAACCCATTTGAAGTTTCCAGGTTACTCTCAGAACGCCAATGATGAGCCTAGGCAGGCGTATTGCGAATTGCTAGGGTAACCCATGACTGTCTCATCAGGCTATATTAAGGAGATAAGCCAGGAGATCAGCTGGTTGCAACTTGTTGAATGTTTGCATATGTCAACAAACACCCTAAACCTTCAACCCAAAACTCTAGACCTTAAACCTCAACTCGCCAAATCGCACACTAGCTCCTCTGGAGGCTCACGTGGGTTTAAGCCGTTTTCTGGAGGGTTGTAAGAAGTGGCAACTACAGTCTATTTTCAGAACAGCTTCAGAACTCGTGTGGCCCATGCTGTTTATTCATGGTCACCTGGGCTGGACAACCAACACATACACTCACCCTATTTTCCCTTGCCAAAAACCAATAAGAAAACCATAGCTCATGTCCAAGCTGACCCGAGGCGCGGATTCGGTCTGCCGCTAGGCGCAAACGGAGTGTGAAAGAAAGGATTGTGATGACCTTTGTTGTCCTGAGCTGGGGCTGCTGCTGTATCAGGGTTTAGGGTTCGAGTCTAGGGGCAGACTTGGGCTTTTGCCCCTTGTTGGGAGAGTGGTTCCCCAAATGACCACTATTGGGGGGTTTAGGTACCCAAAACCATCAGATTGGAGCTAGTGGCACCTGCAGCTTGTATGAATTGAAGCTGCAGGGTTGTGCCCTCTTTTCATTCCCATTCCTGGAAGATTGGTAATCTTCTTTGATTTCAGCTGCTTCTCGGGTACACCATGACCTCCAACAACCAGCTTATAAACCGTTACATAACCACAGTTTGTAGTTGAATTTCCGGTTTCTATTTGAGCCTCCCTAATAGAAGCAGATGATACACTCAATTCTGGAAAACTTCCCGATCTGGTAGCTGACAGTCAGGATACGCACTCTTGGGGCTGCTCGAGATAGTAGGAAATTGCTACGAAATAAGGTTTAAGATGCATGGTTCAAGGCATTGTTGACATTGAAAGGCTGTATGATCTTAGCATACCAGGATACCGCGCTTACCAAGGTATGAGGTATCTAGGGTCATATGTAAGATTTGGGGTATCAACGGTGTGCCTGGGTATTGCTACTGATCCTTAAAGTATGACGACTTTTGACAATCTTTGTTCTAGCTGCAGCTGTTGCTTTCCAAGCACGGGAACCAATCTCGTAGAAATCGTCTTGTGCGTGTAAAAACAAAATTTGGCAACCTCAACTTTTATACCAAACACCCCATCAGAGTCATGTGATACTCGTGGAGCCCTTTCTTGGGGTTGCGGCTACCAAAACTCCTTAGGACTGAGAAGCGGAAACGGCTCCGCGCAACAAAAACCCTGTCATGGGAGAACCCCCCCAAAGTCAAACATCATACCGAAAGCTCTGCGCTTTAAACCAAACAGCTTCCACCCAAAGCACACGTTCCATACTTCCTTCATGGGGGTTTCTCAACATTGGGTTCACGGGGAATCTAAGAAGATTATAGCGGTCGCCGTTAAGGATTGCGCAGGCTTCTTTTGCCAATTCCAGTTTTTTAGACTCTTGTGTGTGAGGACGGTGAAATGTTTTATGCGTCACGGGACGAGATTTCTGCGCCACCAGGTTAGACAGCTACTGAGATACAGTTCCAGGCTTTATGGAGTTCAGCGGTTTTTGGGCGCAAGGGCTTCAAGAACGGGGTTGCAAGGTCAAAAAAACAAAGTTTCCGAAGGTCCATGTGGGACCAGCAAACCTTCGCCCAACATTGCCTATAATGTTACAAGGAATCAACAACAGGCGCTGAATAAAGAGACGCGCATGCGACATCTTCGACATTGCAGAAATAACGCAAAAACCGAGCCCACCAAGAGGAGCCGCGTGTAAAGCGTCAACATGCGTAAACCAACCCAGGGAAACAACTGTTAATGCTTAGATCTTCACACGATTCAGCGCGCGATTTTCAATGAACATGTGGTTGTCCTATCCAGACCCTTCACACAGTGCTCGGATATGGGCCCTAGGAAAACTTTTGCGTTGTCATGACATCCAACACGGACCTACAAGCCCTTTTCGCCGCCCCGGCAAGACAAGCCTTTATTGGTACTTGCAATGACCGCAGCCCTTCAACACAATCTTTTGTCAAAATTTGGGAGGTTGCTATACACCTGTTGGCAACAAGATGCGCTTGGTGGAGTATTGCGCGCCCAAACCAACGTAGAGCAAGAACACAGCGGTACCAAATAACCATACGGCCGACAGGATGCAAGCGCGGCCGAGGATTTAGGTGAACCGTCCAGCAGTTCTTTCAAAAATGCCCGGAAGAAAAAGCTTTTCAAATCATGAATCCTCCAGTGTCCCAACAGCAAATCTAGAGAAACCATCTGACAGTTGAGGTCCGATCTTACCTTCACTTCTGTATGATGACAGAAAATCATCAAATATCATCAAATATTTGCATCGCCTGGAGGGGACGTCTGACTCATTCAACAAAGAACGGCAAATGTTGTGCGAGGTTTGGTGTCGGAAGCTGCCAGCCCCGAGATCTTCGACCCAGAGTGTTGCGATCACGAACTGCAGCAGGAACCAGGAAATACCAATTGTTGTTTAGATTCTTTATCGTTAGTCAATCTTTTCCTGTATTTTCATTTTTTGCCCTTTGCAATACAATGATTTTCTTCGATTTTGGATGATTTTGCGAGCTTTCAGAACCGAAAATCCACGGAAACCATCAAGATCAGTGAAAAACCTCAGATTGACGTTATTATTATTGGTCTTCCATCAGAACCCAAGTTCGAGGACAAGCATTTGAACCATAAAAAGAACTATAAACTCATGGTTTTGAATTGTTGTTTGATGATTTTCATGGTGCTTTTATTTTCTGGTGTTCTTCGATTTTCCATGATCTTGAGAGCCTGCAGAACTGAAAATCCACGAACAACATCAAACAGCATATGAAACAGCTCAAACTTACGGTATGTTTATCGGTTATCCCTTGGTTCCGTGGTTTTGAGCCCCCAGAGCCGAGACTTGAGAAACACAAGTAAAAAAATGAAAACACATAAACACTAATTATTTACAACAATAAAAAACTGAATTTGGGATTCTTTTAAACATGCTTTTCTCATGGGTTTCTTCCATACCGAGGCACTGTCTACAGATTTCTTACGGCTTGTTTTTCATGGTTTCACTACAGCCCCTTGAAACTGTATTGAAATTGTATTGAAACTGTAACTGAATGTGTGTTGTGAACATGTATCAAACGTGTAGCCGAGACTCTGGGACATGCATGGTGTAGTAAAAATGTACATGCAACAAATGTATGAAACCATAATTTAAATCAACCAAATGAAGCCATCGGCCGATCAACCCTTCATGATCAAATGGTCCGAACCATAGCGTCTACAGCAGCGGTCTTCCAAACTCTAAACAATTGGACTGCCAAACTCCAAAACGCAGCATCACTGATAGCTCGTTCGGGGTTAGCCCCCACCAATGTCCCCAACGCCTGTTAACGAGGTCATGAATACGGCAGTCTAGTCTTGAGATGCCTCACTCAACTTGGGAGAAAAAGTCGGCCTGCTGGTTTAGGGTTTAGGGTTTAAGGTTTAGGGTTTAGGGTTCTGGTTTCAGGAAAGGATGTAGCCTAGACCCTAAACCTGAAATAGTAGGAGAGGGGTTGTTACTATCTTGCTTTGAAGGCTATGCTCCCACAACCTTGAACTGTGGGTTTAATATTTGGGGATTGTCCTAAATTACTGTCAATACGGGGTCCTATATTTAGGTTCCTATTATAATACAGGGCCCTATATAAATTACCCCCATTTTGGGAACAGTAATTTAGGGAAACTCCCACTTTAGGGATGAAGGACGGTTCTAGGATGTGAGGTGCATCCCAAGGATTTGTCTGATGGGGGTTCCTAAAGGTGTAGGGTTTAGGGTTTAGGGTTTCAGGGTTTAGGGTTTTAAGGTTTTAGGGTTCAGGGTTTTAGGCTTTGGAGTTTAGGGTTTGGGTGCCCCTCTGAAGCCCGGACCCTAAATTGCAGATCACAAGCCCAGGATCATGATGGAGAGTCAATGACTTCCTCTGGAGCGGTGGCAACGAGCTTCTCAACGGCTTGGTCGCCTATGGAATTCAGAGCTTCGGGTTTAGGTTGGGTACTGCCCCCAGCCAGTAAGAATCTGTCATAGGGCTAGTATTAAAGGCTAGACACAATTATAATATGAAGCATACTTTAAACTCCTAGTATCCATTTAACAAGCCCTATGATAGTCCCCTATAGGATCCCCTATATTAAGCCCGTTTTGGGAGTTTAGACTATAATGCATTTAGATATTATCCAGCTGTTACTGAGTAGGGGCAGTATCCAAAGTTTGGGGCGTAGCCTAAACTCTAAACCCTAAATCCCTAAAGCCTGAATCCCTAGACCTCTAAACCTTAAACCCCCTAACCCCTAAACCCTAGAACCCTAAATCCCTAAACCCTAAATCCCTAGACCCCTAAACCTTAAACCCTAAAACCCTTGGG